GGGGGGGGGGGGGATTGTTTCTACTTTAGCCTTTTCCAGTACTTCCTTAATCAACCCTCTTTTTAAATTTTTCTGTAATAGTTTATTGAGATATAACTGACATACCAAAATATTTACTCATTTAAAAGTGTACAGTTCAATGGTTTTTTTTTTTTTACTATGCTCATAGGGTACATATATATCCATCACCACAATCAATTTTAGAGCACTTTTATTACTCAAGAAATCCCATACCTTTTAGCTATCACCTCCCAAATCTCCCATCTCCCTGTCTGCCCCCCCCCCCAGCCTGAGACAATCACTAATCTTTCAATCTCTATAGATTTGCCTCTTCTGGACATTTCATATAAGTGGGATCATATAATATGTGGCCTCTGTGACTGGCTTCTTTCACTTAGCATAAATGTTTTCAAGGCTTATCCATGCCATAGTATGTACCGATATTTCATTCCTTTTTATAAATGAGTACCATTCCGTTTTATGGGCATATGACGTATTGTGTATCAATTTATCAGTGGATGGGCACTGGGTTGTTCTACCCTTTGTTTATTGTGAATTATGCTGCAATGAACATCTGAATACAAGTTTTTGTGAGGATATGTTTTTATCTCTTTTGGTTGTATACCTAGGCCTCTTTTCCAGAAGCTCAACAGGCAAACATCTTCTGCACATACAGGCCAAGGCCTTTCTGTACATTCTGAGAGCTATTCCCTGGTCCCAAACCTGGCAAGTTAAGCCAAAATTCTATTAAACCTTCAAAGTCCATTTCATTCATTTCTGAATTCACTCAGTGAACAAGTGTTCGTTCTCTACTAGGTGCCAAGCACGCTACTATGTGCTGGGGATGCAGAGGGAACAACACAGGCAAAATCCTGGTCCTCTTGGAGCTTAAGAACCAGTGAGAGCAAAGAGGGAAGTAACATAGATCCTGTGGCATGTTGCTTCCTCCATGAAGCACTCCTGGATCTCCCAGGAATGGTTCAATTCTACTCTAGTAGTACCTGTTTATTTTTCTTTTGCTCTATTTCAAAAGGGATTTCTATCTCTATAATGGCACCCATCCAAAATCCCGTAAAATTGAGAGAATGCATGGAAAGCACTTGGCACTCCTCTTGTCATGCTGTAAAGAAGAGAGAGGGAGAGAGATTTATCATGATCATGGGCGTGTCCTCCTACTTGTGCCTCTTATGAGCACTATTATGGAATTCAAGAATGACTGATGTCATATGAAGGTGACTTGGCAAAACACTGACTTGCAGTCTGGAGTCCAAGGCTGGAGTCTCTTGATCCCCTGCTTACAACTGCTGTTGTAAGTTCCCTGGATATTCCACACACTTGAGGATGCAGCAACCATGTGTGGACTGGGTCTTTTTTCCTTCCACTCTTACCCCTAACTGGGACCAAACAGGTGCGACCACATGTGTCTGCAGAGCTCTCTGAAGGACCCTGGCATGCACAGGGACTGTGTCACAGTGTCTGCAGGACACAGCAGACATCCAGGGCCTCCTGGAGTTGGCCAGATCTACAGCTTTCTTACTACAGGAGCACCAAGATAAAATACCAGACTTTTCTGAGCCCGTTGAATAATACTGGGATCATACCAACCTCGCAAGATTGTCATGCGTTTTAGAAACATCCAGGGGACTTCCCTGGTGGCGCAGTGGTTAAGAATCCGCCTGCCAATGTAGTGGGCACAGGTTCTAGCCCTGGTCCGGGAAGATCCCACATGCCACGGAGCAACTAAGCCCGTGCACCACAACTACTGAGCCTGAGCTCTAGAGCCCGTGAGCCACAACTACTGAGCCCGCGTGCCACAACTAATGAAGCCCACGCGCCTAGAGCCCGTGCTCCACATGAGAAGCCACCGCAATGAGAAACCCTCACACTGCAATGAAGAGTAGCCCCCGCTCGCAGCAACCAGAGAAAGCCCGCGCGCAGCAACGAAGACCTAACACAGCTCCAAAATAAATAAATAAATAAATTTATTAAAAAAAAACATCCGGGGAATCATGGAACCAAGTGGGACTTGAGCCCCTCCATCAGCCTCCATCGGGACCCCCAACCCCAAGTAAACTTCAAGTACAACAGTGTGCTTGCTGTGTACGTCCTTTTTAGGACCGGCCTCCTGGCAACCACTCTTCCAAACAGATTTCTGCCTCTCAGGTCCTTCTCTATAGAAATCTTGATGCAGCTCCTGAAATTAGTACTCAGTGGTAATTAACTACTACCTTTTTTTTTTTCTTACATAGCTGTACTATCTGATAGGCACAGTCTCAGAATAGTTGTTTCTGGATCAACGAAATAAGAAACAGCTATCCCCTCCCCCAAGTAGGGATCCGGGCTTTGGCTTTGATGCGCTGCGTCTCGGCCGGGTGGGCCCCGGGGAATCTCTCCAGGTGGGGTGAGGCCCCGAGGGCCGCCTCCAGCCCCCTTCCGCTCCGCACGGGTCCCAGCGCGCAGGATGGAAGCCGGCGGAGCTCAGAACCCCTCTTCCCAGGCGGCTGGAGGCCCTGGAGCCGGGCGGGCGCGGCAGCGGGGCGGCGGGGCGCTGGCGGTCACGTGGTGAGTCAGCCGGACGCGGAGCGGGGCGGGGCGCCGGCGGTCACGTGAGGAGTCAGTCGAGCGCGGGGCGGGGCCGGGCGCTCTACTTAGCGCGGGGGCGACCCTGAGGAGCTACAGCTGCTGCTCAGGCACCGGCACCATCACAAGTGCCGGCCGGGGCGGTCTCAGGCTGCAGGCCCAGGCCCTCTGCGGCGGCAGCGGAGCGCGGTGAGTGAGTGCGTGCGGGCAGGTCGGGGGGATGGGGAGACCGGCGTCCCTGGCTGGCGGAAAGGGGGACCCTCGGGCAGTCGCAGCCGGGCGAGCCGGGGCGGCACGGCGTCCTCCCGGACGTCGTTGTGGTGAGAAAAGCAAAAATCAACCCCAGCGCGGGTAGCCGGGCCTCCTCCCCCATTCCCACTCCGGCTGGGAGGCTCGTGTTCCCCTCCACAGCCCCCAGTCCCCGAGTCGTGTTCTGACCCCAGGCCGGGTCATCCAGACCCCACGGCCCGCCGTCTTCAGGGCCGGGGAGGGCCGGGCGGTGGGATCCGAGGGAGGAGCCCGCGAGGAAGAGCTTGGCCCGGGCCCCGCTGACTTCGGCGGCAGCTCGGCTCCCCAGCCCCTTTTGAGCTAATGGGCCTCAGTTTCCTCGGCAAATTGCTGGGATGATAGTATTTACCTGCATCAGTGTAGGTGTATTCTTTTTCTAAAGGGTTTGCCCGGGCAAAATCACACCCAAGTCCAGGGACCCCCAGAAGGTCCTGTTGGAAAACAGGAACCTGGAACTGGGTGGAGGGGGTGGCACCCACAGGAAGAGTGAAATCCACAGATGGAAAGAGAAACTAAGCAGGGGGGGGGACAGGAGGCTGTAGGACCCGGGGTGCTAGCCCCTTCCCCCCGTGAGTGTGGGGGGAGGGAGAGGCCGGGCCCACCCCTGGATTGCTAAGGAAGGGAGCCGGCCTGGGCCCAGGGTGCTGCGGGAGAGGCGAAGGCAGGGCAGAGCCCCGGGGGCATCGCCTGTCCCTCAGCTGATGACCGTGGAGGCCTTGGAGAGGGAGCGTTGCCCGGTGACCGAGTTTGGGGGTCCGCCGGCTGTCCAGGTAGATGTGAATTGGATTTGGAGGAAGCCAGTAGGCTGGCACGGGGAGGACAGTAGCTCAGGCTCCACATTCCCTCCCCCTGACCCAGGAGAGACTGGTACCCAGTCGGGGGAGGAGGGGTTCAAAGGGAGGCCTAGAACCTTTGGTTACCTTTGGAAAAACTGACCCTCAGGTGCCTCACTAGAGGCGAATGCAGCTGAGGTGCGTTCATCTAGTTGAATCTATAGATGCAGGGTGATACGAGGAAGAGCCTTAGCAGGGCGTCTGGTTTAGTAAAGGCTACTTTCCTTTTCTTTCATAACATCCTTAACTTCCTGGAGGATTGTTTCCTGTTGGCACTGGGGATGGTGACTTAGCGCCTTTGAGCTTCGTAGAGAAAGGGGCTGTGCTGCCCCCAACGGCACCCTGGAGAATGGATTCGCTCAAACCTTTGGGGGCATTTTTGTCCCAGAGCTGGGGTGCAGCCAAGTGGAAGGGTGCAGATCCCTTATCTGGGGGCTTCCCAGGCCCAGGGGAAGGCGACTTGGGCCAGACACAGCCCTGGCTCCACTTGAGCTCCCCTGCTGCTGGGTCTGGACAGCCTGTTTCTGAACTGGCCAGGCAGTGAGTGTGGAAGCCCTTTAGCTCCAGGAAGCACCTGCCTGTGTGCTGCCAATTCAGCAGCCTGAGCTGCGGCCCTCCTTGTAGATGGGCTCTTTCTTTCCCCAGCTGCCGGCCCTGGGAGTTGGAGTAGGAAGTGGTATACATTTTAGGGCTAAGATACCTTGTGTTACCGTTGGCAGCTGGATTGGGAAGTGAAGGAAGAGTGCTTTCAGGTGAGCCTTGGGATGTCTGTTGGGTGGTTTTCTTAAATGTGGTGATGAGTGGGGTTGTATTGAATATCCCTGTGCTCGGGAGAGAAAAACTGAAACGTTTCAGGGTGAGAATCCACAGTGTCTGCCACCTGTTTTGGGCGGTTTAGCATAAGGAAAGCGTTGGAAATACGTGAGGCTGAACTATATGAAATGGTAGTTTTTGTACATCAAGAAGGGTTGCAGTCAGGCACTTGGATATGTTTCAGCCTCACGTGTAGAGGTGGTCAGGATTGACGGTAAATTGACGAATCTAGTTGAAGCACACGCAGGTGTGTGTTGGGCTCACTGGGTTTGGGGAGGCTGTCGGCATTTCACCCCTCGTCCCC